CTAATTACTTTAAACAAATACATGAAATGCTCCAATTAAAGACAAAGACTGGGAGAATAGATTTAAAAAGTACATGACCCATTTATTTATTTTTTAAAAATATTTATTTATTTTTGAATGTTATGTTTATTTATTTATTTATTCGTGAACCGTGCGATCATGACCTGAGCCAAAGTCGATCCATTTAAATGCTGTCTATAAGAGATTCACCTTAGATCTAAAGGCACAAAGGAGTTAAAAGTGAAAGGACAGAAAAATATATTCCATTCAACTAGAAACCAAAAGGGTTTCTAGGGGTGGTTGGTTATACTGATACCAGGCCGTAAGTCAAAAAATTTTATTAGAAACAAAGAATGTTCTATATTGATAAAAGGTCAGTCAAGAGGACATAGCAATTATAAAACCATATACACCTAACAGGAGAGTCCCAAAATAAGTGAAGCAAAAACTGACAGAATAGAAGTGAAAAATAGTTCTACTAGAATAGTTGAAGACTTCAAAACCCCACTTTCAATAATGGATAGACCATCTAGACAGATGATCAGTAAGGAAACAGAAGACTTGAACAATATTATAAACCAAAAGACCTAACAGACATATACAGATGCCCTACCCCAAAACAACAGAATATCCTTAGACGTATTCCTAGAATATGCTTAGATACTCTTAAAGACACATTCCCAGAGATATGTGGAAATGGAAACACAACACACCAAAACTTGTGGGACACAACAAAAGCAGTGCTTGGAGAGAATTTGCAGCTATAGATGCCTATGTAAAAGAGATCTCAAATCACTAACCTAATTTCACATGTTAAGAAGCTAAAAAATTAAACACACAACTAGCAGAGGAAGGAAGTAATAAAGATCAGACCAGAAATAAATGAAATTGAAAGTAAAGAGAGAGAGAGAGAGAGAGAGAATCAGTGAAAACAAACATTGGTTCTTTGAAAAGATCAACAAAATTGGCAAACCTTCAGCTGGACCAATAAAAGAACTCAAATTACTAAAATCCAAAATGAAAGTGGGTACCTTACTACTGACCTTAACAGAAATGTAAAAGGAGTCTAAGAGAATACTACAAACAACTGTGTGCCAACCAATTAAACAACCTACATGAAAGGGACAAATTTCTAGAAACACACAAACTACCAAACCCAACCCAAGAAGAAATAAAAAAATATGAACAGACCTATAACAACTAAATAGATTGAATCAGTAATCAAAACCTTCCAACAAGGAAAAGCTCAGGACCAGATGGCTTCACTGACGAATTCTACCAAACATTTAGAGAATAACACCAATCCTTCCCACACTCTTCCAAAAAACAGAAAAAAAGGAAACACTTAACTCATTCTATGAGGTCAGCTCCACTCTGATCTCACAGCCAAAGACATCACAGGAAAGGAAAATCACACACCAACATCCCTTACAAACATATATGCAGAAATCTCCACAACAGGTTAATCTATACACAATCTATACACAAAAGGTAAATTAGTGGTGGCGCAGGGCTGGGGGAAGCAGGGTGTGGAGGATGATGACTGAAGGGTACCAGGTTCCTATCTGAAGTGATGATAATGTCCTAAAATTGACTGTGGGGGTGGCTGCACAGATCTGTGAATATACCAGGAACCACTCGACTGTATACTTTGATGGGTGAACTGTGTGGCATATGAATACATTTGTTATAAAAAATATTTGATTAACCCAAAAGAAGGCAGAAAAGGAGGGAAAGGAGGGGGAAAAAACAGAAGCAACTAATATAAAACTAATAGCAAGAAGACAGACTAAAAGCTATCATTAGTCACATTAAATGTAACTAATGCAAACATTCCAGTTAAAAGGTGAAGATGGTCAGATTGGATTCGCTGTCTATAAGAATCTACAGGGAGGGGGTACTGTTTAAAGGAGGTGCCCTTCAACAAATGGGTTAGAAGTTTAAAAAGATGGAAAAGATATACTATATTAACACTAGTCAAAATAAAGCCAGAGCAGTTAAATTAATATCAAACAATGTAGATTTCAGAGCAAAGAATATTAGCAAGATAGAGAGGGTTATTTCATAATGATGAAGGGTCAATTCTTCGTAACAACCCTAAACATTAACCGAGTTTCAAATTATTGGAAGCCCAAACTGACAAAACTAGAGACGAACAGACAAATGTACAGAGGTGGATATTTCAATGCCCCCTCTCAATAATGGAAAGAACAAACAGACCCCAAATTGGCAAGTACACAGATTTAAACAAGACTCCTCAGCTTGACCTGATTCACATTTATGGAGAACTCCATCCAACACCATTGGCTACACAACCTTCTCAAGTACACGTGGGACATTTGCCAAGACAGGCCACAACCTGGGCCATAAAATAAATCTTACTAAATTTAAAGATTCAAGTCAAAGCATGTTCTCTTACTACAGAGGAATTACATTAGAAATCATTAATAAAAGATATATGGAAAATCCCTCAAATATTTGGAAACTAACATACTTCTAAATAAGCCATGAGTCAGTAAGTCAAAATAAGAAGGTGTTTTGAAACTGAAGAAAAAGGAAAGGAACATATCAAAATTTGTGTGATGTTTCTAAAGCAATAGTAAGAGAAAAATTTCTATTACTAAATGCCTATGTTAGAAAAGAAGAAAGGTCTCAAATCAGTGACCTCAGCTTCCACCTTAAGAATTACGTGGGGCACCTGGATGGCTCAATTGGTTAAGTGTATGACTTCAGCTCAGGTCATGATCTCACAGTTTGTGAGTTCGAGCCCCACGTCCAGCTCCATGATGACAGCCCAGAGCCTGGAGCCTGCTTCAGATTCTGTGTCTTCTCTCTCTGACCCTCCCCTGCTCATGCTCTGTCTCTCAATTATAATAAACAAACATTAAAAAAAAAACCAACACAGAATTAGGAAATGAAGTCAGGTGCCTGGGTGGCTCAGTTGGTTAGGTAACCGAC